AAGATGGCAGGCATGCGGGCGCCTCCTGCTACTGTGCATCTGGGGCCCGCAGCCCACTTAAGGTTGGAAAGTGAAGGGCCAAAGAGAGAGCACAGTGGGCGGGACACTGGTCTTATAAGCAGCCAACTCTGGTTTGATCCCTGGCACTGTAGAGTCCCCCACAACCTGCCAGCAGTGATCCCTGAGCACAGAGCTAGGAGTATGCCTGACAACCGCTGGGTATGGCCCCCAGCCCCCAAAATAAATTAAGCTAGAACATGATGGAGGGTGCAAAGAGATATCTCAACGGTTGCAGCACATGCTTTGCCTGGGTTTGATTCCCAGTACCTCCAGGTCCCAGAGAACTGAGCTGGGAGAAGCGCCTGAGCACTGAATCAGGAGTAGCTGCTGAGCACTGGATAGGGAGTAACATCTGAGCCCTGGGGCCAGTGGCATCCCACCACTAAACAATTCAGGGTTTGACCCCCAAACATGTAATAGAAATAAAAGCAAGTCAGAAAATGAGGCAGCTTAGGTGAGGAAGGAGAGGTGCACCCTCACCCCGCCCAGGCATCTTTTTAAATTCAGGGAGCAGAGGCTTGGGGTGCTGGCTGGAAAGGGCGGCCTCACCACGCACCCCCACCAAAGAAGTGGGTGCTGTCCATCATGAGGGGGTCTCTGGTTCCCAGGTAGCCTCCCCTCAAAGCTTCTCCTTCTAGCCCCCCTCTGAGAGCTCGTCCCTGCGTTTTCCCTGAGCCACAAACTCCTCCCTGTGCTTCTCCTCTTCCCCTCCCACCCCCTGCCTGTGCTCCTCCTCCCCTCCCCCTCTTTGTGCTCCTCCCCCTCCTCCCCTCCTCCCTGTGCTCCTCCTCTTCCCCTTCCTCCCTCTTCCAACCCTCACACAACCCTGGGGACCTGGGCCTTGTCCCCTCAGATGCCTTTCAGCTACATGAGTCCCAGCACCCCTCCCACCCCCCAACAGCCCAAATTCCCCAACACAATGGAGGGGCTCACACGGCGGGGGGGGGTCTCTCCCTCCTCATACCCCTACTGGGGCTGGCCTCAGCCCAGAAATAGCTCCTCTGGAGGCCTGAGTCACTGAGGGACACCCTCCCTGCTGGGGTCACTGGCTAGGGCTGAGTCCAGGTCCTCCTGGCCCTCAGCTAGCCCTGGGCTGGGCTCCGGGCATGTTCCTTGCTGCTGCCCGAGACTCGTGAGCCTGCCACAGCCCGGCAACCCTTCCACTCAAGTATTGGGAGGTGCTTGCAGTTTCTCCAGCCCTGGAGGTGGGTGGCCACTGGGGGCAGGAGGGGGCGGGGAAAGGTTTCAAGATTTGGGGTGTTCTTTTGAAGGGGAGAGCTTGATGCTTTAATGTTCAGGGGTCCCTCCCACGTTCCGCCGTGCTCTGGGGACCATGCAGTTCTAGGAATGACCCTGGGACTCCCACATGAGAGGTGCACTAGGTGCCTTTCTGGCTGAGTCCTGGCCGGGGACTCTGGGCGCACAGGGCTGCAGAGAAGAAGTTCCAAAACACCAGCAGGAACGGGGCAGCACGTGTGCAGCCGGACGGGCTACAGGAGAGGGACATGGCCGAGCAGCTGGTCACTGGACAGCCTTCATGAGGGCTGGGGCATGCCTTGTCAGAACATTCCTCTGTGCAAACCCGCATGGGACACACACAAATCCCTGCCAACTGCTCCCGGCAGGACCCCTCACGTGGACACAGGCTGGACCTCATCGCTGACCCAGTGGTGTCTGGCTCACAGCACCTGTCCCATCCTGTCTGTTTTCTGCATCCCTACGCCGATGATACCATCCCAGAGGAGCTCCGAGGGCAGCCACCCCGCCGCCCTCTCTGCATCCTTCCCAGGGGAGAAACAGGCTGAGGTCAGTTTCCTTCTGCCTTGGGCTGCTTTGGGGAATGGATCATGGTGCTATTTGGATGGATGGATGAATGGTAAGCTCCAGGTGGCCACATACCAGTCCAGAAGGCTGTGAAGATGCTCCAAGGCCAGAGTGTGGCTCTGCACCCCCTTCCAGTGCCATCCTTTAAACTCTATCCTCAAACTCTCTGAACAGACCAGGATGCAGGCTGGCTGGGAAGGGTCCCCCATCCCCAAAAAAGGCCGGATCCCTGGCCTTTTCCTCCTCCATTGAGCATTTGAGCGACTGGAGCTGGGAAGTGTGGGGGACTGGTAACCCCCAGGGAGGGGGAGGTTCTAAATGCAGACACAGGCTGAACCTTAGCGCTGATGTTAGGAATCCTGGGGGAGCCCGAGACACAGTGAGGTTTGGGGATGGAGGGGGGAAGAGGAAGTTAGCCTGGGTTGGGCACAGCTCCTGTGGTCCCCGCACAGGCTTCCCGGCTTGCAGGGAGAAGGCGCTGTCAGTTCCCAGACACTGCAAGATGGAAGCATCTTGTCCACCTCATGTCAGTTCTGCTCTCAGAGTCTGGAGGACTCAGGGAGGGAGGTCAGGGGTGACTACCTGGGGCCAGGAACTAGTGGGCAGATGTGCATACAGATGACAGCAAGCCAGAGGGCATTCATTAAAGTGGGGGGGGGGGGGGCGGGCTGGCCTGTGCCTGCCCAAGCAGAGCTCCCAGCAATCGCATGCTTCCACAATCCAAAATTGCCACCATACCCCTGGCCTGATTCCACTGTCTCGGGATGGACCTTACCAAGATAAAATCTGCTGAAAATTTTGGTATGCGGGTTTTGTGACTGAAATCTCCAGGCTTCCTCAGGGTCGGGATGGGCTGTCTCCCCCCACCTCCCTGTACTTCCGGGAGCCTTGGTAGTCACATCCATACCCCAAAGCTGCCACCCAATTGAAAAGCTACTCCAGCCTTACCATCCTAATAAAAATACTGAATGCCCTGAGCAAACACCACGACCTCTTAGCACCTGTATTGCAAAACATAATGCATAAAAGGAAAAGGAGAGACAGATCAAGAAGGAAAGTGCCTCCCATAGAGGGGGGCTTGGGGTAGGGGGTTGGTTATTGGGGGAATAGTGGTGTGGAAATGGGGGACATTGGTGGTGGGAAATGTACACTGGTGGAGGGAGGGGTGCTGGATCATTGTATGACTGAAACACAATTATGAATAGCTTTGTAGTGGTCTATCTCACGGATATCCAATTTTAAAAAAATTTAAAAAGTAATGTGGATTCATGCCCAATTCAATCAGCTTAATCAGTGGCTGAATAAATAGAAGTATTCTTACATTTTTTAAAAAAATAAAGTGGGGTCCACCCATGAGACTCCTACGTCTGTTGCCACAGGCGCTGGCCCAGAAGCAGTGAGGGTGAAACCTGGCACTGATTATCCTTCAGGGGTGTCAGGGATTGAGCCCAGGGACCCCACATGCTAAGGCTGTGCCCAGCTTTGGACTCATCTCCCTGACCAGTGGTCTTTTTCATGGGGGACAGGGCACCCCCAGGCACCAATGTGGTGCTGGGAATCAGCTACCATACATAGCGCATGTGCTACAGCCCTTTGAGCAATGCCTCTGGTCTACCCACCACACACACACACACACACACACACACACACACACACACATGCACATACACACATGAACACACACTCACACATACACACATAAAACACACACTCACACATGCACACACATGCACATACACACAGTTACATTCACATATACACTCATGCACATAGATACACACTAATGCACACACACAAAACACACATACACACTTGCGGACACACAAAACACACATACACACATTCGCAAACACACACACATACATGCATGCACACACAACACATGCTCTCTCTCTCTCTCAACTCCTTAAGTGAGGCTTAAATAACGCTAAGAACTACAAGCACAGGAACCCTGGGAAATGTGTGGTGTCGGGAAGACCTGGGTGAGACTCTAGGTTCCTCACCCACGGCTGCTGTGTGGTTTGGGCCAAGTTCCTTGACCCCTCTGAACACCATGCTGTATCATTAGCACGAAGCACTGGCAGGCAGGCTGAGACAGGGACAGTGAAAGGTGGGAAGAGTGGGTGATGCTCACAGTCTCCAGCTCCATCTAAGCTTTGCTAAGAAACAGCAGCATGAAAGACCCCAAGGGGCACAAGCAACTTTCGAGATGCCCATCACTTGCTGAAGCCTGGGCAAGGCTACCGCGCCTGGACTGGAGCTCCCGAAAGACTCTAGCAAGGCAGAAGGAGTCAGTGCCAAGCTGGGCTTTGGGGGTGGATTGGGGAATCTGTCAGCTCCAGGAGAATCTTCTAGCAGACCAGCCTCAGCACAGTGGGTGGGAAGGCAGGAGAAAAACGTGGTTGAGTCAGCACACATCCTGAACCCGCCCAGCCTGAGCTCCAAGAATCCCTGGGGAGGTGCAAGGGTGGGGGGAGAGGGGGGAGAGAGAGAGAGAGAGAGAGAGAGAGAGAGAGAGAGAGAGAGAGAGAGAGAGAGAGAGAGGAGAGGGAGAGAAAAAAGAGGAGAGAGAGAGGGAGATGGAGAGGAAGAGAGAGGGAGAGGGAGAGAGGGGGAGAGAGAGGTGGAGAGACGGAGAGGGCATGGGCATGGCAGCCTAGGGGCCTGGCCTTGTAAACTGAAAGTGTCCCTTGGGACAACTTGAAGAAGACGAGTGGTCAGTGGGTTCCCAAGCTTTGGGGCAGGCACTGGGTTTCTTTCTGCCAAGCGCCTTCCTCAGGTCGTTTTTTGTACAAGCCGGTGTGGCTGGTTAGAGTGCGTGCGCCACGTACACACACACACACACACACACACACACACACACACACACACACACACAAGCGCGCGCGCTTTCCTTTACAGGGAGTACCGGGGGTCACAAGCACATTGGGATGGGGCGCAGCGGCCACTAGATTCCAACCTAGAAGTCACTCTGCCTAAGGATCAGGAGCCTGGAGAAGCCACGTGTGCGCTCGGGCGGGTCCAGGACCCCTCCCGCCCCTGCGCCCCCGGGGCCCCGTCCAGGGTGCAGCCGCACCACCGTGCCACGGTGCCCTTGGCCCGCGCGCGCTCCGCACCTGCTGAAGACCAGGCAGCCCAGGTGGTTGATGTCCTGGTCGGAGCGGTGGCGGCTGTAGTCCTCCCATAGGTCCTTGAAGGCCGTGGCCGCCAGGATGAAGAGTACTGGCGCCAGCGCCAGACCCGGCTGGAAGGCGTTCACCGCGGGCACGAAGTTGAGCAGCGCGATGAAGACGAAGTAGACGTTGGCCAGGCGGTGGAACTGTTCGAACAGGTTCTTGGGCAGGAAAGACAGCGCCGTGTACTTGGTGGTCTTGAGCCGGTTGTCGGCCAGGTGCGCGCTGGTCCCGCGCCACCACGGCGGCCGTGCGCCCAGCGCGGGCTCCGGGCCCGGCGGCTGCAGGTTAGAGCGCACGGTGCGCGTCCGGCCCGGGCGCCGCCGCTGCATGGCCTCGGGGGGCCGCGCCGGGCTGCTCCGCCGCGCCAGCCTCCTGCCTAGGTGATCATCGCGCTGGTTCCCCGCCTGCAGGACGCACGGACACGGCGGTCAGCGCCGGGCGGGCCCGGCCCGCGCGCCCCGCCCCGGCCCGGCCCGGCCCGGCCCGCGCGCCCAGTTCCCGGCCGCGCCCCTCTCGGGAAGGAGCCCAAACCAAGGGCCACGGGAGCCGAGCGACTCCCCCAGCGCCCCCGACACACGCCCCGAGATTCAGGGGAGCCCCCACCCGGAGATTCGAACGGGGGCGATCCCTAGACCCCGCCCCGCCTCCTTCCCACTTCTGTTGTTGTGGGGAGCGAGCGGGACTTTCTCCTCCGCCGGTTCGCGGCTGCTTCTGCTCGCTCCCCAGGGACGATCTCATTGCTTTTGGTGTGTCGGTTTTTAGAGGGCCCCACGCAGCGCCTTGTCGGGGGTGGTTGGGGATGCTGCTCCAGGCACAGTGCTCCGGGTGGCCCACAACCAAAACGTGTGCATCAGACCTTGGCGCGCCTTTCGTGCTCACGTCTGGTTCTTCCCGGCTGAGGGAGTGCTTTCCCGGACAGCTGTTTCTTGCTGTCAGTTCGGTTCGGATGCTCGGCCAGCACCTCCAAACTTTCGTGTTGGAAGGTCCAGACAGAGAGTTTGAGAAACGTTGTCGAGGAGGAGCGAAGCTCCAGGAGGTTGTCCCAGAAGTGGGGGCGCGCCAGGACCCTCCTATATGTGGAACCCGAGAGAGGAGGGACAGGGGGCAGCCCAAGGGCTGAGAAACCAGTTTTCTCCCGCTATGCTCCCCCAATATGGTCTAAAAACTAAACAAAATGGGGGTCATATGCTGGAGCGATAGCACAGCGTAGGGCATTTGCCTTGCAAGTGGCTGCCCAGGGTTAGATTCCCAGCATCCCATATGGTCCCCCAAGCAACGCCAGGATTAATTCCTGAATGCAGAGCCAGCTGTAACCCCTGAGCATCGCCGGGTGTGACCCAAAAGGCAAAAAAAAATGGGGGACATATGGGAGACGACGTGGCAGGTGGTGGGAGGAGGAGGTCCCTGTCCCCAGGAAGACATTCCCCCTCCCCGAACAGGCCGTGGCTCCTGGAAGGCCACTTACTTCCTAGCCTCACTTGTGTGAAGCCCCAGATTCGATCCCCAAGAGCACTCTGCCCCCCCAAACAAAAATGAAGTCATCCTGGCTGGAGTGGCTCAAAGGACGGGAGCACTGTGCCTCCATGCAGATGGCCCAAAGCATCCCGAGCACTGTGCTGAGAATAATCCCTGAGCACTCTGGGTTACTCCTGGCCCCTGGATCTAAGCAATGACCTGCCAGGGGCCCAGGTGCAGACACATAGCACAGAGGATCAGGACCTTCTGGCCAGGGAGACCATGGATGATTGCTCGGGTTTGGACTGGGTCTTTGTCTGGGCCTCGGAGCTGAGAGGCATTGCACTACCCGAGCAAGGCTCTGGGTGCCAGCCCTGTACCACCCAGAGAAACATAGCTAGAGAAGGCTCGAGAGATGAGACAGGGCTGAGGGTGCTGGCCTTGCTCGCAGCTGACCCAGCATGCCAAGAGGGATGCACAGAGACAGGAGTGTGCCCTGAGCACTGCTGGGTGGGTCCCCAAACCAAACACACCAAGACCAACATGTCTGGACCCGGGGAGCCTCTTGGCCATCTCCTTCTCAACCCTTCCCTCTTCCCTCTTTGGGGGCTCCTGAATGCTGAACCCCACAAACAAGCCTCTGCCTTCACTAGGTTCAAAGCACTGACCCTCCCCACCCTCTCTATTGGCCTGCCTCTCCCTCCTGTATCCCAGCATGCCCCACACCCACTTTCCACAAGGTGCCCCAAATGCTTACTACCCCGGCATCCTGAGGGCGTAGGGGGCCCAAGAGGTGTAAGAAAACACCCTCATCAGTGACCCTAGAACCTTCAGCTATTCCGAGAGGACCCCCGCTGAGGCCAAGCGACCCCGACCAGGACAAGGTTGGGGGTCAGCGCTGCATTTTCAGGGGGACAAACCCGTGTCCCAGAGGAGCATGGCCTCCATTCTGTCCTCCCACTTTCTCGAGCCCAGATGCCCGGCCACAGCCCCACCATGCTGTTCCCTCATATCCAAGTAGACCCCCACTCTCTTCAGTTCCTCCCTGGAGTGAAGTGTTGCTGTCGTGGTCCCCAGGCTCCCTGAGGGGGCCTTGGAGGTTGTCTTCCCCTCTCTGCTCTTACCCTGGAGCTGATGGGGGTCCCCGGTCAAAGGCCGACTCCTTCCGGGAAGGATTGCGCTGCGCGAGCTGCTTCAATGCTCCCCTCCCCCTTCCCAGAACACGCCTGGCTCATTCCCCTGCACATTCCACACCCGGGTTCCAAGATCCGAGAGTCACACAGCTCCTGCAGTCTGGAATGTTCCCCCCAGCTGACCCCCCACTTCCTGCTCAGCCTGTCTCTCCGGAGCGCCCCCAGTGCCGGCCACTACTCCGGGGACTCTGCTTCTGCTGGACACTGGGTCAGCCCCAGAGACCTTCGCAGGAATTTGGCATCCCTCACTTTAGCCACATCAGCTCGGAGACTCTGAACTGTGAATCAGGTTTCGGAGGACTCGTGGGGTGGCCAGGTTGGCTGAGCTCTGGGCAGGCTCCCCCAGGCCCAGAGCTCTGCTTGGGTCACTGCACTGCATTCTAGGTGGGGCCAGCATGGTTCTGGGCTTTGGGCACCAGTGGCAGTAGATCAAACCTCCTGTCTGGAAGAGACATCCCCCCCTGCCTTGCCGGGGGTTTCAGGAGGTCACTTCCTGAAGCTCATTGGGTGGATGCAATTTCAGGAAGCCCGCTCTGCATATAAAAGGAGGACCCACCAAGGAGGGATGAGTCAGCTGCTACAGTGGTGGGTGATTCGTGAAGTGGTCCTGGAGTGTCCCTTGCATAGGGAGGACCTGGGCTCCAGCCCCAGCACCACTGTCAGCATTTTTTAAACTGACTTCTTCTGTAGCTGGAGCAATAGGACAGCAGGGAGAACACTTGCCTTGCACACAGCCAGCCTGAGTGATGCCGGTTGATTCCTGGCATCCCATAGGGTCCCCTGAGTGATGCCGGATGATTCTCTGCATCCCATAGAGTTCTGCCAGGAGTGATTCCTGAGTGCAGAGCCAGGAGTAACCCCTGAGCATCACCAAAGTGACCCAGAACTGAAAGAACAAAACAAAGATGAATTCTTCAGGCTGAGGCATACTCAGAAAACTGCAAACACAGGCTTTGGTGCATGAGGTGGATCACCACTACCACATGGTCCCACGAATGCCTCCAGACGTGGTCACCCAGGTCCTGAGCTGGGGGCCAGCCTTGAGCATGGCTACTATGGCCCCCAAAGCAAAAGCAAAGTAAAGAAACCATGGCTGTGTAGTGAAGCCCCTTGGAAGTCCAGAAGGTGGGCTCTGGGGCATGGCTGCATGTTGTGTGCCCCCTCTGCTGGTCGGGAGACCCCAAACAAACAGAAACACCCTGAAGATGGGGTTTAGTGAGCCTCTAGGCACCAGAAGCGGGTGCTCCCAAGAGCCCCAAAAATGGGCAGGAGTTCTCTTTGCTTCTCCCCACAGCCTCCTTGCTGCCTCTTTCCCATTTGGCCGTTTCTGACTTTCCTACAAACCGTTTCCTCAGAAGGCGGCACACTGTGGAGTGCACAGTGAGTGCTGAGGGGCAGCTGGCATGAGGGGTGCTGGAGCACCGGGGTGGAGATGAGGCCCAGCCCTGTCTTCAAGGTGTGTGAGGCCCTGGGTTCTATCCCCAGTACCTGAATGCTGGAGACCAAACTTGTGGTCTCCAACCCTCTTTCCGCAGGCAGTGGTCAGAGTGTGTTGAATTCTGAGAGGTTCTTCTGGGACTGAGGAATGCCAGGGGAAAAGCCCCACTGAGTCATCCTTGCCCCCAGACAGATGGAGGTGACTGAGCATCAGGGAACAGGCCAAGTGCTTCCCCTCAGGGACCCTGGATGCTTCCTGTGGGGGGCGAAAGAAGAGGGGAGGTTGGGGACAGGGAGGGTCTTCCCCAGTCCCCGTAAGGACAGGGGCTGGAGCTGGGCTCACTAGGCAGCCATGAGCAGGGCCCGGAGATGGTCCAACTTGGTCTGGAGGACTGCTTGGATTTTGGGTGCTCAGGGTTATTCTTGGTTATGCTCCGGAAACTATATGGGGTTTCGGGGATCAAACCTGGGTTCCAGATGCCAGGCACATGCCTTACCAGAATTTTTTCTAAGAGAAACCTTGGAACTTTCTGGTGAGGAGTCACATGACTTGAGTCAGAGATTGCCCCTGCCTCCCACCCCCGACCATCACCTCTGCTTTACTGCAGCATAAACAATCTGCAAAGGGACAAGGTCAAGAAATGTGAACACAGGTCATGACACTCAAACACAGGCCACGGAACTCCAACACAGGCCACAAAACTTGAACACAGGCTTTGCATGCAGGAGCCCTGGGTCAAGCCCCTGGCACTGCCACATCCCCCTAGGACCCTCAGAACTGAGTGGGGAGTAGCCTCCTCCCCCTAGTTCTGCCAGATGTGGCCCAAAAAAACAAGACAGAAAGAAGAGGAGGCAAAGGGTCCAGGTCAGTCAGGGGGAGAGAGGACAACATGCTATTCAGGGCCAGGAGGCAGAGCAGAGGGTCGGCCTGGCATTGGAGCGTATCAGGGAACTGCTGTAGTGCTAAGGGGACAGGGGAGGAAGGACAGTCCAGAACGGCCTCAGCAGCTCAGAGATGAGCTTCTGACCATCAGAGATGGTGCAGGAGGCCACACATCCCAAGCCAGGCCCCACATGGGACCCCACGCACTAAGCTGGAAGGGGAGCACTGAGCACTACTGGATGTGGCTCCCAAGCCACAGAACATGGACAGCTGAGGCAAGAAGGCCTGTGGGTGGCATCTGAGCCTCGGGACACAGCCAGGCTGGCAGGAGCCTCTCTGGACTGCCAGCCTGGAGTCAGAGAAGACTTGGGTTTTAGGAGGCCACAGCCAGGAGTGGGAGGGGGGTCAGAAGGCACCAGATGGGGATCAGCAA